TTAAAAAAACTGAGATTTTTAGGATGCCTGAATTTATCTCTATTTTTGTATTTTGGTTTTTGAATTTCTTTGCTCATATAGCTCTGAGTTTGGTACTCTGAATATTAAGTTAAGATAAGCAAATGTTGGAAATTATATTCTATTTTCCTAACATGAAATATAAGCTTAGGGATGCTTGTCCAAACTAAATTGTTTTGAGCAATCTGTAATGACATGGGGATGGGGGGGGGGGGGGGGTAAGAAAAAAGATGGGAGACAGTGCTAAACATTTGATCAAAGTTATGTTTAATTGTCATATACATGTTATTGTAGATACCTGGCAAATACAGTTGAAGAAGATGATGAAGAGTCAAAATATGAGATTTTCCCATGGGCTTTAGGAAAAACTTGGAGAAAACTCTTCCCAGATTTCTTGGCGTTGAGAGATGAACTGTGGAGTAAGATGGGTTATAGAGCTATAGTAAGCAGACGTTGCTGTGAAGAGGTGAGAAAAGTATGTTTCATATTATTAAGAGGATAAGGTAAATTATAATAAACAACTTCTGTTTTCTAATCTTTCCTTGTTTTCAAAACTCTAATAGTTATTTTTAAATGCTGTCAAAATTACTCACTTTAATTGCTAGATGATACCATGTTTTCAAAATACTCTTAATGAATAATTGACCTTCATCAAAGTGGGTGTATGTTTTAAAAAATATACTAGCATTTCTTGGAAAATATGAAATAATCTATCAATACAGTGTACACTATGTAATTAGATACTAGCTATTTTTGTTACACCAGTTCACCAAACATTCTTTTTCCTTGCGGTAAGCACCCTCATTGTTATCTTGAATAAAGCTCGCTATCCTTATATCATCCTCATACTTCACAATGTGGTTGGTGGCAAACCTAGCACAACAGTCATGAGTCAACAGGGTGAAGAACAGCAGATTTAGGAAACTGCCCTGAGGAGAACCTGTGCTCAAGAAAATGGTGTTAGAAATATTAGTCCCAATTCGCACATACTGGGCCTATCAATAAGAAAATCAAGAATCCAGTTGCACAAAGCCTAATAGGTTCAGTTTGTCTACTAGATGCTGAGGAATGATTGGATTAAGTGCCAAACTGAAATTGACAAACAGCATTCACACATGAGCACTTCTTTCCTCTAAGTGCGCCAAGCTAAGATGGGGAACAGAAGAAATAGCATCCTCTATAGAGCAATTTGGACGGTAAGCAAATTGAAATGATCAAATGCTGGAGGGAGGCTGGATACAATAATGTCCTTTATCAGCCTCTCAAAACATTTCATAATGTTGGATGTAAGCACAACTGGATGGTAATCATTGCATTATAGGTTTTCCACTGCTACCAAAGAGGGGTTTCTATTTTTTATGGTTTCTATTATTTGGGAATTTGTTTGCAATTCAAAGTGAGCAGCAGCTATTTTATTGCTGACCAGTTTCCAGCCAATGTGGCTTTGTTGCTCATTCTCCCAAAACAAGGCCAACCTTCATGTTCATGCCACTCTTCATGGCCTGCATATGATGGTCTTACCATTCTTATTAATTTGGCTACTCTCTATCCACTGATCTGATTATACCTAAGATGTCTAGCTTGTAGTCATCAAAGAGCCACAGAAGTTGAGCAGATTTTTCAACCTGGTGTAGCATTTTCACATTCCATGTCCCAATTCTTGTGTGATATTTTTAGCTGAGAAAATCATTTTCGACTTCTGGCACCAGACTCCATGGCCAGTTTGCTCCAGTGTTGTCCTATAAACAATATGGCTTGAAACAGAACTCTTGCCTGGTTGACTAAATTTTCTTGAGATTATTCTTGCTGTCTTAAGTTTCTTTACCTTATGAAACATCATAGAACAGTGCATTGACATTCAATGGCCATCAACTTTATCGATTTTAAGAAAGCATTTGACAGTGTCCACCAAGAATCTCTCTGGTAGATCCTACATCTATACGGCGTATTGACAGTCTTCATTATTATTTTTAAAACTTATGAAAATGGCCATACAGACTTCTTCAAAATTACTATCAGAGTTAGTATCACTGCTCCTCTTCTGGCCCTCAGCTATGTTATGCAACAAACATCATGCATCAGGAAAGGCATACATTATTCTGATGAAGATTGTCTTGGCAACCTCGAGTTTGCAGATGATATTGCCCTAAGATGAACCCAAACTATAATAAGTGATGGCTGCCTTAGATGAAGAAGCAACCTAAATTAGCTTCAGAGTAAGTGCTGAGAAATCGAAGATCGTGTATGAGAGCTCCACCGCACAGATACAGGGAATCACATTTAGATCACATTCAGATCAGTGACTTGAGAAGGAAGAAAGGTTTACCTCTTTGGGTAATGTAATTGCCTGAAATGGAGACGCAGAGATGGACATCAAAAGCAACAGCTGGTTTCCAGATGGTGAATAAAATCTGGTCCTCATCACTGAAACTTAAAACTCTGTTTGCTTGCTTCTATAGTGATTTATGCTAGCAAGATTTGGAAGGCACCGGCAAGTATTAACAAGAGACTTGATATCTTCCAGTAAGATGCCTTCACTGAATCCTAAAGATACGCTATTTTGACCACTAATGAAGAAGTGCTCCAAAATGTTTACCACCCAAAAGACTCCAATTTGCAGGTCATGTTCTCCATGCAGAGAAAATGACTTAGCGAAGAACATTCATGGAAAGCTTAGACTCTAAACATCACATGGGAAGATGCTGAAGTACTTGCCCAAGACCGAAAATGCTAAAGATCCCTTGCTTCCGAATATGCTACATAGCACAGGAGGATCTAATGCTAAAAAAATAAAAACTTGGAAAATGTGCTACTCTGCCTACAGGTAATCCTCAAATTATGAATGTAATAGAGCCAGCCAACTATATTCATAACCCAAGGATTCGTTAATTGGATCACATTAAATGAATGTGATCCCTTCCTGCTTTCCACAATACACTCGTTAATCAAATGCACAGGTTGTTAAGTGCACATGAGGTATCTCAGAGTGGAGAAGACCATGAGAGTATAGTGCTGCTGGAACAGGCCACCTACTTCCAACCACCCAAGGTCTCCCCTCATCAAGATATCTCACTCTCTGCTTACAATCCCCTGGGGTACCCATAGTTGTTTCCACTCCCCATCCTCTCCCGCTGGGTCTCCGCAGGCACTGGGCCTGCTTTGCAAACCTACCAGATTGCATTTGCTCCACCCCACCCCATTACTGATCGCTCGCTTTTGAAGATCTCCAGATTCCAGAACAGGCTGACCCATGTGGCAGAAAAGCGGCCGCCTTGTACTTAGATGCTGGTGAAGCTGTCACAGATAAGAGGGGCATGGAATGAAGCTGTCAGGACTGCCCCCAGAGCTCCATGCAACCTCTCTTCTGCACTTTTGACTTTTTAGTTCAACATTCATCTGAAAATGGTGCCTGCCCTTTCACTTTCTCTATACTTATTAGACCAATTTTGCTAATAAATAGCGATTTTTTAATGTTGCATAGTTATGTCTTGTTAATTAAGAAAATTAATCTTGCCCACTAGCCCTTATAATTTCTGTGCACTGTTTGTTATATGATAGCTCTGATGCAGTCCTTTCTGAGATAAGAGTCTTTGATACAGGTAATGGCAATTGCTTCAACACATTATGTATGGCAGCGAGAACGGTCTCTTTATCATAGTGGAGCTATAAGAAACAGTTGCAGAAACAAAGTACAGTTACCTCGAGGACCTAATGCCACACCTGTAGACTGTTCACTTTGTGGAAAAAAAACACGATATATAAGGCTGGGATTATCATCTACCTCCTCCACTGATACTCTGGAAGTGGTGGAGCAACATGTCACTCCTGGTTTGCTTGATCCAACAGATAAAATGCTCCTTGATCCAGCTTATCATTGTCACTCCCAAGGTAAGTTAAGTGAACATAGAAATAAAATATTACTGTAATGTTTAAACATCTAGTCTAACTATAGCCAAGAAGTCAAAAGGGCTGTATGTTTAGAGATCACATATATGCCTCTCTTGCTGGCAATGTTTTGTCAGAGGTGGTATTCAGCAGATTCTGACCAGTTCTGGAGAACTGGTAGCGGAAATTTTGAGTACTTTGGAGAACTGGCAAATACCACCTCTGACTGGAGATTTTATAGTATCCTTCCCCTGCCACGCCCACCAAGCCACACCAGCAGAACCGGTAGTAAAAATTTTTGAATCCCACCACTGTGTTTTGTGTCTACATGAAAGCTACAGAGTGGATTTCAACTTAATGAACATCCTAATGCACCAAAAAATTAGAGTTAATGAGCTGAAGGGAAGAACAATAGAGAGTATTCAAAGCAATTATATATTTCACTGGAAAGCCTTTTTACAATTTTATTTTGCTTGTTGGGGTTTTCATTCTATTATTCCTATTTATGTAATCTGTTCTGAATTACAGGTAGTTCTAAACTTACGACCACAACTGAGCGCAAAATTTATGCCCCATTTTACGACTTTTCTTGCCACATTTCTTAAGTGAATCACTGCAGCTATTAAATTAGTAACATGGTTGTTAAGTGAATCTGGTTTCCTCATTGACTTTGCTTGTCACAAAAGGCAATCACATGACTCTGGGACACTGCAACCATCATAAATATGAGTCAGTTGTCAAGCATCCGAATGTAAATCACATGACCATGGAGATGCTACAATAGTCGTAAGTGTGAAAAATGGTCATAAGTCACTTTTTTCAGTGATGTTACTTCGAATAGTCACTAAATGAACTGTTGTAAACCAAGAACTATCTGAATACAAAAGCATAATGCTTGCTTATCCATAATGACACTCTAAACTTCCAAATACTTCTATTTTTTTGACAGGTGACCAGCCTAGGAATGGGAAAAAAAGTAGTCGAGATAAATCCATGGACTGGTTTACTGGAAATGAAGAATAACAAAACTTAAGTTTCAAAATTAATAGCAAATTAAATACAAAATACATGTCAAAATATTTAGTCTCTAAATTTATTTTTTCTTTTATTTGTTAAACATATTAGTATATTGAAACATATTGTATCTTAGTCAATGTAAACACATCAATTGTTTCCCAAATCATACTCATATCAAATAAAATTTCTTCTAATGTGTTATTTCTGATGAAGCCCGATCTTCCAATTGGCACATACCATCTGGAGCAGTGTTTGGATATAGTGAATTAAATTTCCTCAGCTTGACAAGGAATACTATATGAAAGGGGAGAAAAACTAATGTTTTAACAGTCATTAGCATTTTGTTTTATTATTCATTCCTAAAAATGCTTTCACGGTGCTTATGAAAAACATAGTAATAATGAAATGTGTAGCTTATAATATTTTTGCTAAGTCATTCTTACCTGTATAACCAACTTGATATGGGAAAGGCTTAGCAATGTAAGGTGTTCTTATATTGGCAGAAGCAAGAACTGTTGAGATAAAATAAAATATGTAAACGACTAAAATTCTTTAATTCAAATTTGTTCTTGAAACAAATCTGTTATTGAACTACTCATCCCTGTGTCAATTCTGACCCCCCCCCCCCCACAGCCTTGGGCACCTTAGCAACTTTCCCTGTTTGTTTCCTTTCCCATAAGAGGAGGATATGACTTTTATTTCATATTGTCATCCCTGAAGGAAAACAATTATCAGATATCAGGCTGAGTCCTAATTGAGTTTGTTTTATTGATAATTTCAATGGACGAGAATGTATGTAGCTCAGGGTTGAATGCTAGGAAATTCCTGAAAGCTTGGTATTTAGAAAAATCAACCATCAATAGACAGAGAAATAAATAATATATTTACACACTATTCAAAAGAGACAACCAAAAGCTAAGATGGAAGCAAAAGGGGCAGAACACATCCATATCCTCTGGCAACCAAGATTCATAAAAACAGTGATTAACACCAGGCAAACAATCAAGCAAACAAAAAACAATACCCCAATCAAAGAACTACCAAGGAGAAAAACTACATCTCCACCAACACTGACAGGGCAACAAGCTATGTACAGTATATAAACAGGGAACAAACTTCAGACTCACTAGCACTGATGTTGGGTAATGAAATGTCTGCAAGCAACCAACCATGCTCAGAGACCATTTAGGTTTCCATAGTTCATTCATAATGTGTGATTCAAGAAAGTTGTTGTTTATTCACCAAACTACAGTTAACATGATTTAGTATGCATAAATCCAACCTATGATTTACCTCTTCTGAACAAGACATATCACTAGGTTACAATATTTCAGTTATTATTACAAAGAACCCAATTTATTTCCTACCTTCATTTCCTCTCTCTTCAGCAGAAACATCATTTTCATGATGACAAACAGTTTCATCATTGAGGTTTAGTTCAGATGCTATGTTTTTAAGAACATTTCTCTTTTCCCATGTAGCTGGGCATATTAGCCAATCTCTATGTGTAACTTCCAAAACTTTCTCACAAAAAAGGGCTAATTTTCTGATCCGGATAGCTTCCATCAATTCAATAACCTGAGTGATACTGGTAGAAAAATAAACAATTATGTATATTGCAAATGAATTTCTACAAATATATATTAGAATTTATGTTGTAGCCCAATTTTAATGCATATTTATTCAATCTGTTATTAATGATATTCATTTTTCAGTAATGTTTATACAACTGTAAACCATAATGCGGATTATATGCTTTGTCTTAGAGTTAGACTATCATGTAAATCCAGTCATTATAGTTTATTAAACAATGGTTGAATCACGTTTTAGCATGATGTTTCAACAATACTTGTCACTTTGGTTAAAGACAGAATTATAGAATTGGAAAGAATCATAAGGATCATCTATTCCAAACTATCTGAAATATACAGAAAACTAATTAAACCAGTCTTGAGAGGTGTCTAACCAGATGGAGAATCCACAACTTCTATCAGTATTCTGTTCCATTATTATATCATACTGATAGGTTTTTTACTATGTTTGAAATCTAAGAATAGGTAGTCCTTGAGTTATGGCAGTAATAGGTACTAGAATTTCTGTTACTAAGTGATATGGCCATAAATAATCCCGGCAGTTCCCATTACGGCTGTTAACCAAACCCATTGGTCATTAGGTGAACCCCAATTCAAGCAATTCTCAGTTTGGTCTTCCCAGCCCTAATTCTTGGTGAGTTCAAGGTTTGCCTTCTCTATCTCCTTTCCAAATACTCTCATTTGCCTATCTCTCCCTCCATCTCTGTCCTTTTGGCTGTTCTGCGCAGTGGAGAGGTGGTAGTGCTGGTGCTTCAGCAGGCTTGGCCTCTCTTTCACTCCCAATACTACCAAGGAACGCTACCTCATGTTCTGTGTCATAACTAGCCACCCTAGTATCACAATGCAAAACCCCAGCTGCCCCTACGACCTATGTTCCATAGGTCTTGTTATTCCTGCTGAACTTTGCTGTCTTATACCTCAGCTTGACATGCTGACTCTATATGAGGCAGCCGCTGGCCATGCCAAGCCTTCTTCCTGAGGCTGCATGTGCCATTCTCCAAATAGCATGAGGAGAACTAATGGGCAGAGCTCTCAAAAGAGAGCTAAGGACAGGTTTGCTGTTAGCGCTTTTCAGCAAAATTTATTTGAAACAGTATCTAAGAACCTCCAAGGAAGAAATTAATTTCAAATTAATATGTTAGTGCCAAGCATACAAACATATACCATATAAACAAAAACTCTTTTTTCCTAAAGTCTTTATTCCTACAATCTCTTTTAGGAAAAAGACATTGCAGGAATAAAGTGTATTCCCTTTGAAGAGAAAACAAGATAGACAAGGAGCAATGTTGTCCAAAATAAAGAGGCCTGCTATTTTACTCCAAGATATTTGTAGAACATGTCTGCTGTATTGGAGCACCTTTAATTGTCATACATACATCCTATAGTATTGTAAGAATATTTTTAACTTTAATTACAAACTGTTCCTTTACATAAAAGGAAGCCAAAACAACAACCCCCCACTCTCATTCTCAATTGGGAAACAGCTAAAATAACATGTCTGCATTTTACAAAGCTGGAATTGCAGGATCTGCTAATATTGGGGGTTAATAACATGAGACATGACAATCTGAATATTGAGTTAATATACAGACTGAAAAAGAGGGTTAAACAAGAGGTCTTAAAAGAGTGAAAAAAGATCAGCCAAGATGGTAAGGGAATTGAAGGTTAAATCCTATGAAGATTTGTTAAAAGAACTGGGTATAATTAGCCTAATAAAGAATTTTTAATGCAATTTCTGTTACTATTTGATTCCATATATAAGTGCATCACAGCCACTTCGCTGCATTCTTTCCTGCAAAGTTGAAATGGCCCTGCATGTACACATACATGAAGCAACAAGGTATTAGGACTATTAGTCTGGGAAAATATTTGTCTGCTTGAAAAGTTTGAAAGGGGTGCTTCATTCATGCATGAAATAAAGTTTAAAATATTTTGCATACTGAAAGCAAAACCTGGATATTTAAGGAATGAATACTTACTTTGCAAAGTATGCAACACAGACCCCACCTTGTTTAAGACTTGGGAAAATTACAGGCAAAGCATTCTGAGGGGAAAGCATGTCCAGAACTACCTATCAAAAGAGAAAGAAAAACATTAATATTAAAGTAAAACACAACAGGGATTGATTTTAATGAGTATTTGTATTAGAAGTACTTATTGTACTATAAGACTTGTGACAGTGTCTGTTTTTAGCATAACATATATCAATGTTTTAGCAGCACACACTCACAAACCATAATGTCAGACTGGCTGGGTAATGGATTAATGATAAAAATAAAGGTGTTTGCTTATAGTGCTAATGGAATTATCTGTTTTAAGTCCCCAAGCCACTTTGAACAGGAAATTCTGACTTTAAGAAAAGAAATACATTACTTACAGCATCAAGTGTTACAGATTTCAAATCCTCAGCTGCAGTCAAAATATCTTGATTAATGAAATCTACATTATTTGGCCACTCTTTATCATGTCCTATCTTCCATGCATTACGCCACTGGCAAAAATTCTCCTCTGCCAATTTGTGATGTTGTTTTATGATTTCATAACTTATAACATGACCTTGTGACCCAACTGAAAATAGAATACAATCAAGTTGACTTATTTTTATATTTTATATAAACAATTACATAAAAGAAAATACTTAAATAGCCTCCTGCAGGGAAAGATCTACCACCACTCTTCTTCCTGTTTGACTTATATTCTCTCCCTTACCTATCTTTCCTAATTTTAGCTGTCCTATCATTCACCTTTCACTAGCTACTAGTCGGGTGACCCTTAGTAGATTTAAGGGGTCCTCGTGGTGATATATAGTAAAATAACCAATCTGCATAATATCTGCAGGATGGCAAGTTTGTGCAGGGATGTTGGCAATAGGTGACTACCCTTGAAATTGTCATTCACTTTACTTCAGCCCTTAAAGAGCTGCTGTATTCCACCAAGCTGTAGCACTGGTAAGAAAAAAACAAATAATAGAAAAATGTGGGAAAGTTTAGAAAAATATGGCAAATCTTAGAAAAAGCCTATAAATAGAATATAATTGCATGACAGTATTATCTGAAAAGCATCTCATATTTCATCTCAAATACTGCATTCAGTTTTGGTCACCACTGTGTTGAAACTCTAGAAAGAGTAGAAAAGAGCAACAAAGATGATTGGGGCTTGGAGGCTAAACGTGAAGAACTGTTGCAAGAACTGGGTATGTCTAGTCTAATGAAAAGGAGGACTAGGGGAATGATAGAAGCATTCCAATATCTCAGGGCTGCCACAAAGAAGAGGGAGTCAAGCTATTCTCCAAAGCACCTGAGGGCAGGACAAGAAGCAATGGGTGGAAACTAATCAAGATTAAGGAGAAATTTCCTGACAGTTAGAGCAATTAATGGTGGAACAACTTGTCTCCAAAAGTTGTGAATTCCAACACTGGAAGTTTTTAAAAAGGTGTTGGATAATCATTTGTCTGAAGTGGTGTTTCCTGCCTAGGCAGGGGGTTAGACTGGAAGACATCCAAGGTCCCTTCCAACTCTTCTCTTCGTGGTTTTACCACCAAAAGGTGCATAATTTTCTACTTATTACAGACAGCATTAGTGGCACTAAAATGATAAAGTAGCAGGAATGAAATCATTTTTTTTCTGCCTGAAGCCTGGTAAAAGATTAGCAATTATATACATTAAAATGTCAAAAAGTTTTATTTAGTATAAAGAAACAATAAAAGATGGAAACTCTTGTCAGCTGACACCAATAATGAAAACCCTATCCAAAAACTCTCATTTTACCTGCTTTCGATAGAAATAAACTCATACTGCCAGAACCAGAACCAGCTTCCAATACTGTGTCCCCTTGAGTAATATCCATTAACAGCAGCATTGTATTGGCATCCTATAGGTTAAAAGAACAAAGATGACATATTTCAAAGCTACTATTCAAATAGTATTGAGAGGGATGTTTCTTTAGTCTGTCCAGTTTCAACGCAGATCAAATTAATATTCAGTATAACTGAACAGCAGCTGGGGCAGATGTTCACATGCAATTCCTGCAGAGAACAGAAGTGAGTATAATCTTATATGTATAACAACAGAAATAATTCCAACCAGAATCTGGAGGTCCCACTACAATTTCTGTTTATACTAATAGCACTTAGATATATATATATATTGCATCACAGTGCTTTTACAGCCCTCTCTAAGCTGTTTACACAGTCAGCATATTGCCCCCAACAATCTGGGTCCTCATTTTACCAAAATTGGAAGTATGGAAGGTTGAGTCAACTTTGTAAGTCTAAATTACCTTATAATCTAAATTAGGTACTTTCCAAATAAATAAATCAATTCTGAATTTCCAGCAATAGCTATGCTTAATGATAAGACGAAGCAGTAAATTTGGGCCCACTATTGCAGTGTTTCTCAACCCCATTAACCTTAATGTGTGTGGACTTCAACTCCCATAATTCCCCAGCCCAGAAATAAGTTCATTAAGTTCAAAAAGGTTCATTAGGCTAAAAAGGGGGGCTAAAACATGGGGAAAGTGAGATGTGGTAGCAAAGAAAATAGGAAATATATACAAAAGGCATAAAAGTTTAGGTGGGGAGTCTTGTTGGGTCCTAAAAAGCCAAAAGCCTATTTTACCAATTCTGTTTTCAAAATGAGCCCACAAGATCTCAGTGGAGCCCGTTGAAATAATGGGAGCGGTAACATACTTATCAGTCCCCAGAATGGGAACAGGGGAGTGCCGATCAACTAATACATACCTTCGGAGAGATGATGGTAGGTTTTCGATCCATTAGCAACACATATTCTTCTAAGGATGGCCTCCGAATCATTAAGATTTTACCCCGGGACGTGTGGAACAGCTGTCCGGGGAGTCTGCCTACGATCTCAGAGAATCTAATGAAACCCACATTAGTATTACACGTTCCGGTACCAGTGAGCAGGCATTGGATCTTCCAATTCGTGCCGTGCTTCCCATGACCCTCTATTAGAATCAGCTCCCCAACTCGGAAGGGGCAGTTCCTCGAAGACGCATTTTTCATTTTCTCGGCCAGCGAGCCTCGATCCAGCTGGGAATCTGCTCCAGGAAAGACTCCCTCCTCTGCGACGCCCGTGTCGCACCCCTGAGACTTGGATTCCTTCACCTCCGCGCTTCTCAGAGCTCTGACCTCCGCAGAGAGGAGTTCCGCGGGAATCATCCGGCTCAGCCTTTCTAAGGGCGACAGCGACCCTCTCCGAGCCCTGCTCGTCTCCCTCAACCGAAAGGAGTCCGGCTGAGATTTAGCGCTAACCTGTTCTGGGAGCTCATCCCTTCCGTCTCCGTCCCCCGCCGAGGTAGAAGACACCCGGCGACTAACGCCTTGGGGATCGGCTGTGGGCTTTCCTTGCAGCTGGTGCCGGTGAGCTTTGGAATGACCGACGACCGTCCCTGGCACTCCAGCCCGGAGGTGCAGTCCTTTTCGCCCAGCGTCTCCTATGGATCGATCCTCTCTCATCTTGTTCCGGAGCGATGCCCAAATCCTCCCTTGCGATGCCCCCAGACCCAGCCTTTGCCAGCAGCTGCCCATCACGGCTTCGGTCTTTCGAGGAGAGCAGACGCCGCCAATTGGCCAATCGCTTTCTTTTATTTTTTATGCTTGGCTTAACGGAACCCGCCGTTGTTCTACAACTCTGCCAAAGGTACCCAAGCTGGTTGCAAAGCGAACAAGGACGCAGACGCGGCTTTTTCTTCCCGGGCGAGCTGCGGAGCCAATCGCAATCCAGTCAAAGGGGCCTTTCCGAAAAACTACCGTAGGTTTCCTCTTCAGCTTCCGGTTATGAATGGATCAATTGGAGGTGAGGGGGGGGAACTAAAGGCAGCGAGGGCACATATTAATAGAAATACTAAGCGGAAGGAGGAGGAGGAGGAGGAAAGGATGTGGTTCGTTACGAGGCTTGGAACAAACGTGAGTCTTTTCATACAGATACAGATTCTCTCAGTATCCCTTGAATTCTGTCCCCCTTTATCCTTTTCCAAGAAAAGCAGAGGTTTAACTGGCTTTGCTTTCTTCATTAATATCTGCATCCCCGTGACGGGAAAATCTGCCTGCTGGATTTCATACAGTAATAATCTAAGAACCGTGTTCCAGTGTTTCCCAAGAACGAATCTAAATTGCAGTACGCGGATCCTCAGAATGGAGAAAACACAGCAAACTCAATATTTTCTTTCGTTTGAACTTAACCTATGCATAACCTGCCGGAGTGGCAGTATCTGGCTTCTGCTTTTAGACCTAGCCAACAACTAAATGTTAAGCATTTTATCTTTTTACCTTAAGCTCTACGTATCTATAGTGGTCCTGCCCGCATATGGAGACCTGCTATACTGCAGTTGAGAACCGGATGTTGGGATATAAAACCATTGGAACTTAGCCCCGTGGAGAGACAAGCACAAGGAATGATGCACATGCCCTGCGCCGGCTTAGTCTCACGTGGTTCTCTACAGAAGTCGTGTTGGGAAGCGTCTTGATTCTTCTACTGTAATAAATTATCTTTGGGCTTGCCTCTCGTCCCATTTTCTTTTGAGCATTTCCTTTGATTGATTTATTATTTATAGGAGGCTAATTATACTCGCCTCCCCTTCTTGTGTATAGTCCAGCTGTTGACTGCATAAAGGAAATTTGACACTCTGCTGAGACACTATTGGCCTCGAGATAAAGCCCTACAGGCTTATCTGTCTGTCTTGATTAGAAACATAAATCTCTATGTGACTATATCTTTACACACACATTTTTGTTTTCTCTCTCTGTGTGTGTGTGTATGTATATGTATATGTATGTGTGTGTATACACACACACACACACACACACACACACACACACACACACACATATATATATATTTGTTTTCTTAAGTTTTCGCGGGTACTTACATGTATGGTGTTCGGCTTGGTTCGGGTATTTTCCCACGTCATTGTAGTTGTTCTTTTAAAGTTGTAGCAACGTTTCAGCAGAATCTCATCTGCCATCATCAGGCTTCTGTATTGTGTCCGTCTGTGAGTCAGACTTTTACAGTGGTTTCAGATTTGAATTTGGGGCAGCCTATTGCTGTGCCAGAATGGTTTTTTCTTCATCCTGATTGGTTGGGAGTCTTGGTCTGTGTGTATTGGTCTCGGAGTTTGCTGTGTTCTGCTTGATTGGTGTCTCTAATATCTTCTGTCTGTTTTTTGGCTCTTTTTGTATCTTGATTGGCTGGCAGCATTGTGTTGCTTTAATGGAGGCCTTTAGTGCAGCTTGGCTTCGGGTAAATGGACGGCTATCATTAGTTAGGAAGCTGGGTTTCATCTGGGTGCCTGGTTGGGATGTGTTTGAGCTGGAGGTATCAGGGGGGATCTGTTTGTGCCCAGGTGTTTGCCTGGCTTGTGGTGTGGAGATTTTTTTGTTTGTGAGTGCAGGCTTCCAAATGATTGACAGCCTGGTGGAATCATCTCTTCTATTCATGCTTTCTGGTCTTTTTTCAATCTCTATGGCTTCTCTGATGATTCTGTGATTAGGGTTTTCTATAGTGGCCAGGGTTTTGGTGCCATTGAAGTTGATGCTATGACCTGTGGCTTCCATGTGTTGGACTAGTGAGGAAGTGTGTTCCAGCTTTTTGACTGCATTTTTGTGTTCATCCAGGCGGGTGCTTATTCTTCTATTGGTCTGTCCAATGTATGTGGCCGGGCATGATGCACAGGGGACTTCGTATATGCCTTGGTTTTCCAGGTCAATTTT